AACACGTACTACCGCTCGTGCTACTTTTTCCTGAAGGATCTGCAGGATCTGATTCCGCACATACTCCACAGGCTGAACAACCTACACAGGGGACAGTGTGTACCAGGTCAGGGCGTGGACACAGCCATAGCAATTGCGACTGACCTGCGTGCCGCTGTCGACTCGCTCAAGATGAGAAAGTACAAGAGTACCTTAAGGTGGAAGGTGTTTCTCTAGGTAGCAGGCCATTTCTAGAGTCATTCCGCTTGCAGAGCCACGTATTGACGACACACTTGTTCGCAATACAGTAGGTTGTTCCTGAGTCTGCGACTCTGTCGGCGGTGCTTTCTCTGGTTACGCTTCTGTCAGGGGTCGACCAATGACATTCAATGCACATGGACGAAGCCAAGCGAGGAAACAGTGGCTTGCACTCCAAAATAAATCTGCTCGATACTTTGGGAAATTGTGAAGGACATAAAAAGCAAAGAAACCTATTATATAGTAAAACTGCACAGTACCCTTGCAATGTATGGATAAGAACATATACCGCGCGCTCTCAGATTTAAAACTCATATGCTCATTTCGGTAGACACATCAGAAAACAAGAGCTATCTAGCGCCGCTGACGGTTCGTTGGTGAAGGGAGACAAGATTAGGTAGCAACAATCCAAATATAATCGCACAGTGGACCGAGTGACCGCACGACCGACAGTCCCAGGACGAGCAATGAGCCGAGCATTAGCTTCGACAAAGACCCCCCGCTGGTACGATTCCACAGAAGGAAGGCTTCTGGCAAGGCCCTAAAGGCTCTAACTTCTAGTCCTCAAATGGTGGGGGGCACTTCCCGTCCAGTTACTGTATCGCGTAGAGCAATGAGTCCGAATCAGCCGAGCAACGTCAAAACGATAATGGCTACTCGCAGCATGCATAGCATCTACCCCGTCGTTATCCATCACGTCGATTAGAACCCGGTCGTCCTCCAGCAGCCGCTGCACGATTCGCGCCTGACCCGCCCGGGCTGCCCACCATAACGCAGTGCGTCCCCACCTGTCGGTGCCATTCCGGTCAGTCTGCCAGGTTTCTAACAGCCGCGCAACCACGTCTGTATATCCTTGGTGGGCAGCCAGGGAGAGAGCGGAATCCCCTAGGTAGGTCCGGACATTGACATCCGGCCGTGGGACGCATTTCAGCAACCGCATGGCTACATCGGAATGACCGCGCGTAATTGCGGCCAGGAGCGGAGACGAATAAGGCCCCCATCCCTGATTGACATCAATATCTCCACACTGCAGCAGGCGCTC